CCTCCTGTTGTGACTTCACATGGCTTCCAGTTCAATTGAATGCATTGTGCTGGTTTCAGACAGGCTGCCAGCATCTCATTTCTCTCAGTGGACTGACTGACTTTCAAAAAAAAGTGTTGAGCACTGTTCTTTGGAAAACAGTCATACAACCACTTCATTATTGAGTGATTTTAATGCCGAGTGAGTATTACAATGCAGAAGACCTTGAAAAATGTAATCAGAATGTGTCCTTTTGAATGTCTATTTTTAGGCACTAGCATAGGTCTCAGATATATAAAAATATATAAAAAACATGTCTATGAAGTGTTTTGCTCCAAATACCAAACAGATCACCCATTCTAGCCATGCCTCATATCCCTCTATTTCACTTCCTGTTTCAAAAGTGCTGATTTGGGGTATAAAGCTTTAAAAAAAAAAAAATGATAAAGAAAAAAGGAGGGGGCTGAGCTTATGCGGGACCCGGCAGCTACTGTCTAAACTAAATACTGCCGTGATGAAACGCCATATCATGGATTATCAATCGATTATCTCTGAAACAGTATGGAGCTCAAAGGCTTTCTCTCTTGCCGGTTATACCACAAGGTGAGTTCCTTTTTATTTCCTGCTTCTTCACACACATGCTCTCCAGTACAGGTTAGCTCTGAGTGTTAGCGATGCTAATGTAAACACCGACCACATTACGTCCAAAACAGTCGGGCATTGTTTCTGATAGCAACGTTTCCGATAGGGCCGTGGGTGTAAAGCCAGCCTACATTTCCGATATTACGTCATATCGGACGCAAATCTGGATCAGCTCCGTTGTAGCCCCGTTTTTAGAGATTTGGGAAAAGAGAGAGGGTTTTATTTTCTGACGCTGCGTGAGTTTCCCGACACACCGGGGACACATCTTTATGTATAAAAGACATCAACAAGTGCATTTTGCATGATAGGTCCCCTTTAAAAAAATGTATTTTCATCACCATGGTTATGCAGTAGATGTTGTGTTTTTTTCTCTGGGGCTGGCAGAGCTAAGACTTTTGCCCTCTTGATGGCTCTATCTTTGATTTAGGGTAGATTTATAGCAATGTGGACCTATCGGGTCATTTGTTTGATTATAGTACCCTGCAAGACTGTGAGTTTTAATGAGTCTTTAAATGCGCAAGCTGTGCGGTGTTGACATACTCCACGATGGTTAGGTTTAGGCCATTACAACTATTTGGTTAGGATGTATTTTGTACAGATTGGAGAACAAAAAATCATGTAAGAATCAGGAGTGTTGAATCGTCAATCGCATCGTCAGGAATCACCGTTCATTACAAGGTTACGAAAAGAGCACAGTCATGATTAAAGGAATGTTTTTGATAAATGTTGGATACGGGATGTCAACATTGTACGCCCCACCAAACATCCTGCATCCTGCTAAAACAACACCATGTTACTTCCACCTCTGCTTCTGAGAGAGGAAGGTCGATATGCACATCATCACAAGAGGTCATGGCAAATTCAAAAGTTCACGAGGCAGTCACAAAATGTACATACAGTACAGCCTGAGTGAATACATTCAAATAAAGGTTAAATAGACTTCTAACTTCTGGTGGGAAGTAACTAAGTACATTTACTTACTTATCCAAGCACATATGGTACCTGTGTAATTTTACTCCACAAATGTTCTAAGGGAAATAATGTACTTTAAACTTCACTACATTTATTATACAGCTTTAGTTACTGTATAATCAATGCAGGATTTCCACTTGTAATTGACAGTATATTATTAGTACTTTTACTTAAATAAAATATCTGAATACTTTCTCCAGCACGGCTTCAACTGATATACATGTCTTCAATCAGTTTGCATCTTGTTTTGCTATGCAAAGTTATCCTGCTTTATATTGAGGATTTTGTTAATATCATGCTCAATGTACATTTCGTGCATCATGTGTTTAAATCCATGCAGTGGACATAAACAGGACAGTCTTGTGCAGTGCAGTCTGCATCACTCTAGAAAAAGTGAGCTAATTATAAAGCATACAGTATGGTCTCATGCAGCAGGGTGGACAGGCTGCCTTGCAACATATGCTTAGTAAACATTTTCAGAGCCCTCTCGTCCCCTGTGACTGCAGCCAGGCATTAGCTTTAATCTGCCAATACCTGCAAATCCCCGGCTTCCCACACACATTCTCACCTTGGCAGAACTGAAAAGGTTATATTTAAGAGAGGAGCCGCTTTGTGGCACATTTCCGATCAAGGCTTTTCATTTTGAATGCCGCCCACGTTCGTGTGAATCCGGAGAATGACCGCGGCCGACCCCACCCCCACCCCCACCCCCCGCACAGATCTGCTCCGAGAGCTAAAGTGCCGGCCCGAGTGGCCCGTAGGTGTGTGTTATGCAAGACTAATGGATGAAGAGATCATTGTATTCAAGACGCCCACAGTGATGGTTCATGTAACAGATCCGCTTGTGAAATCACAGCTTTTTAACATTTGGGTATTGGCTCTGGAGGTGCTGATCACTGCTGAGAGATCGAGAGGACAACATGCATCCTAAGTCCTCTAAAAGGTGTCATGGGTCATTATTATGCATGATGGGAGAGGACCGTGTTTCAATCAATCATGTGTTTTCTTGGCAAACCCACCTTTTTTTCTTTTTTAAAGGGGATGTAAATATAAGTAAATCATGATGTTTAGAGTGACGATAGACACAATAAGAATATATTTTCCCTTTTATTATAGCTTGTCACATGAAAATATATTTGATATTTGACTATACATTTCCTGTATAATGGATAATCAGTTATTTAACCAGCCTACACTTTTATATCTACTTACAACTACGTTAAACGGTGTTATAAGCTAATTATTAGATCTTTATATACTGCTTATAAATGCTCTATAGGGTGACATAAAAATTGTTTTCCAATCAAAGACTTTTAATTGAAAGATTCAGGTAAAAACTTCTGGTGTTATAATTTCTTAACGCTTTCCAAAGTGTTGGTAAAATGTATTTTTATAGTAGTAAATGTGTTCTGATGTAACATGTCTAAGCTTAATTGGAAATATTTCATACAGAAGTTTGCTAACAGGACGTTTTGCTTCTCCTCGGTTCATTTCCTCTTTTCGCTAATGACTTTCCTGGGGAGCTGAGCATTTGCTTTGCTGTTTACTTTATACGGTATCTAAGCTCTCTTTTAACAAGTTTGCAGTTAATGTAATGTTATTTTTACTTATTTATTTTCATGAATACATCTGCTCAATAGGAGAGATGTGTGTGGATGTGTGCAGCAGGTCAGCAGAGGAGCTTGTAATGCAGACATGGACTGCTGAGAGATTTGTGACTGTATGCTTTCACACATGCAAGAGAGACTGCTTTGTTTTCTACAATTGCAGGTATTTGGTTTATAAGTGGCTGTAACTCTTTGTTACTTAAGTGTGTGTTTTATGCTTCTTCCTTTATGTCCTCTTGTTCAGGAGTTTTCCTTTGGCAGGCAAAGAGAGTATTTATGCTCTTGTGAAAGCTGAAACCATTTCTGGTGCCTTTCAAAAAATGTAAGACATTAGCCCGATGTCTTTTCTTACCTGAGATAAGCAACTAGACTTATGGGAGTGGGATATCAGTTGTGCAAAATGAAATCCGGTGAAAATATTGGCTGCATGAAATATATATATATATATATATAAATGTTACTTTTCCAAAATAAAAGTTGCACAATCATCAATATAGTTGGCAGCAGCGTTCACTTTCTCTTCTTCTGATAAAAAAGGAGTTATCAGATTAAAGCCCCGGCCACACGAGGACGATAACGCAAACGGACCGCAATCGTTATCAAAAAAGTCTTCCGTCCACACGCAACAGGCAACAGAAACGTGTCCGTTCACACGAGACCGCTCAAAAGCGCTGGAGATGCTGTAGTACATATGCCAGGCCTGTAAGTGGCGCTGTACTCCTACCACAAAAGCAGCAAAGAAGTCTTCCCGCGCATGGTTGCCATGGTTGCCCTTCTGTTTATTCTCCGCGGTGGACGCTCTGGCTCTTTTTCTCCCTCCCCGAGGCAAGCGTTTGCTCCTGCTGTAATTCTCTCCGGTTAGTCCACCAGCAGATGAAAAACACCCACCTCTCCGCCTCTTCCAAGGAACGAGGGGACCGTGCGGCAGAGTTTCAGTTAGATTTGTTTTCGCCGGTCAACATGTCCGTTAAAGTTTAAATCTTCCGGACAACATTAGAAAAGTGCCGGTCAGAGGTCTTCTTTGTTATTTATTGAGCTTTAAAACAAATTGATAACGACTCTATATAATAATATAAGAATAAAAAACGGAGCCTCTCTTTTCCTCCCCCTCTTCTGACAGCCCAGCAGCTGATCTCTGAGCAGGAGAGGCGGGGCGAGGCGAGGCGGGACGAGGCGGGACGAGGCGGGGCGAGGCGGGGCGAGGCGGGGCGAGACGGGGCGAGGCGGGGCGGGGCGAGGCGGGGCGGGGCGGGGCGAGGCGGGGCGGGGCGAGGCGGGGCTATTGCTTCAACGTTATCAGGAAATTATCGTATAGGCGTAGACACGGAGCCGTTTGCCCCCCCAGAGCGGTTTGTTCTCAGATCTACCCACCTTGGGACCCGTTATCGTTTTCTGCATTTCCATGTCGGCCTCGTGTGGCCGAACCGTCTATATGATAGTGAACTGTAGCAGATACGACCGTTATCGTCCTCGTGTGGCCGGGGCTTTACACTTCTGAGAATTTCAACAACAAGCAGGAGTGCCATTTGTTACTTGAACTCTGCAAACAATGTTTTAAAAGCCAATTTGAAAAGGAAACACTCCTGTTTACTCTTCTGGATAAGAGCATGGTGATAAGAGGGGAAATACAACTTATTTGAGATAGTAAACATTTAAATTAGCTCTCTCTTGGCAGTCTAAGATTAGCTCTTTATCTCCTCATGAGACTGCTCTAAATTGGCTTTAAAAACAGATGTTTCTCTCATGATTGTGCCAAGATCAACACAAACAACCCTGAGACAAAATGGCCGATGCTCCTACCTGCTTCTGGGCAGGAACATGGACTCCTTGATGAAGACGGAGCCGGACAGCAGGATGTACCAGCAGCTCCCGACGTCGTCAGGGCTGGAGACACAAAGAGAAACACAATGAGAACAAATAATCACAGATTGCAACAGAGATGGAGAAAATGCACTTAATCGGAGTTGAGTGAGGAATGTTTAAAGTTGGCAAGATACAAGCCTAAATTACATTTCGAAATAAATCTTAGTAATGTAACACAATCTTCATACCGTTACATCGTCTTCATTTCTGGTTTTCTTACACTTATGTTATGGTATATTGGAAACACAAACAGTGTATGTGCAGGCCATGATACACACCGAACAACACTTAGTTTATTTATTGAATAACCCTAACCCTTGTTCAGTCAATTCCTAAACCCTATTTTGATAACAGATTATTAATTTAAATATTATTTTAAGCAAACATGACAAGAGGACACTGGTTAAGGCTTATCAAATGTGAATTTCTACTAGAATTCTTGGTTCTTTATGATTGTAAACTGAATATGTTTTGGTTTTTGTCACGCAAAACAGAATACAACACGCATCCACTTGTGTTTTGTGAAATGTTGATGAGCATCTGTTCCAAAAACAGTATCTTTAAATGCAGAAAATCTGAGGATGTAACAATAATGCAATCCTCAGTTATTGCAACCCAAATCTCTTTAATGTTGAGATGTTTTCTTTGTTATTGTCTTGCCCTACATGCGGACGCGCAAGTGCTGCGATGAAATGCATCAGTAATGAGAGATTTGCTCACTGTGCCAAATACAGATCACTTCTTAAAAACAAAGTATAAAGCAGAACACATGAGAAAGAGAGTCACAGATAGAGAGGGAGAACTACAAATGAACCGAGGAATCATCAGTCATCCTCCCACACCCCGCTCAAACACAGACGAGGAAATTGGGCCTGGCAGACTCCGTAAACTCCGACTGACCTCCGCATGATACTGCCGGCTGTCAACTTCTTACAACATGACGAGTAAACAATCACACGTACACACTTCCACCACACTTAAAGGGGACCTATCATGCAAAATGCACGTTTGTACGTCTTTTATACATGAATATGTGTCCCCGGTGTTCCAGGGAACTCACCAAGTGTCAGAAAACACAACCCTCTCTATTTTCCTCCATACCCAAATCTCTAAAAAAGGGGCTGCAACGGATCTGATAAAAACTGATCCAGATTTGAATACTGTCCTGACGTCAGGACGGTGGCGCTACGGCTATTGGGCCAACTCCACCAATCAGGAGGAGACAGCCACGGCCATTGACGTTCGAAAGCGCTGGAGACGCTGTAGTACATATGCCAGGCCTGTAGATGGTGCTGTTGCTCACAGAATCAACCCTTGCTAAAACAGATCTAAAAAATGTCAAATTGAGCAAAATGAGGCATGGCTAAAATGCATGATCTGTTTGGTATTTTGAAAAAAAAAAAAGTATAAATATGCCTTATATAGGTATGGTCCTACACTATATTATTCAAATATAGCATGATAGGTCCACTTTAAATCACAGACACTTTTTCAGGTTTCATGGGCATTATAGTGAGCCAGAAGCCTTATTAGGAAACATCAAATACTCTCCTGAGGGGATAAACAACACTGTCAGCGTTAATAAAGCACGCTGGTATTTTAATAATTTTTTGTTTATTTAAATGTGCCGTTTCATTACTTGCTCGTGTAGCTTATCTCAGGACTTGCATGTGTACCAGAGGGATTCAAAAGAGTTAATCTGACATGGCTGAGATTCAGAGAGTCTTCTCTGCTCTGAACATGCAGGATTACAGAGAGGTCATGTATGTTAACCTGCGGGAAAGCAAACAAATTGCTCTGTACACGGATAAAGAGGTTAATGCTTTCTTTCAAACACAACATATGCACTCTGTGAGCAGGTCAGGTCAAATGTCACAGAGTGAACTGCTGTTGTTACACCAACGCGCTCTACAGTTTACCCACATGTTCTGCATATCGGTAAAAAATGTGTGATTTCTTCTTATTTTTTTAGACAAATAAATATATTGTTATTTTTTCCCAACAAAATATATACAGCCACCTCCATAACATTTTAATAAATACAAAGTCAAAATAATACAAATAAATTACTAATGGTATTAAATATTTACTGAAAAAATAAGAATTCAAACAACATAAATACTAAAAATCTAAATTATGTAAAGGGCATGAACATCTCTTGAAAGGATTTAACGCTCAGTTACAAAGCTGGTTTACAATAAGCTTTATATTATCTGGTCACATCTGTCGTACTTTTTCTAGGTTGCTCCAAGTTAATAGTAAAAGGATCATTTCTCCAAGGCAGGACATTGAGAGAAATTATTTAAACACCGACTGATAGAACGTTTTCTGGGTTTTGTTCAATAGATGAATATTGTATGTTTCAATTTCAAACCATGGATGTATAATAAGAACTGGATACAGCGTGGGAGGCGGGGCCTCGTTCATTCCTATGAGAGTTGCTCATTGGCGCATGAAGACAAAATGGCCCAACTTTTGAGAGAGCGAAACGTCACGAAAGTATTCATATATTCATATAATCCGTTCTTATTGTGCATCCATGGGCAAAGGTAAAACTCGTGTAGTACTGAACACGTCACATGAACGTGCCGGGCGACGCGGTCCCGTGGGTTAGATCCGCGTTCATAATGCCGAGGAAAATAACTCTCAGAATAACGTTATTAGCACATTTTACAACTTGAGGACCGAATGTTTTTAATAAGGGCTATACAAGTGTTCATACTGGGTAGTTTATTTAGTTTAAAAACAATTATCGTCTCTTTCCCAATGTTAGTCAATGGGAACAAGTATTTCCGGGCCCAGCGACTGATACGGAAGTGTAGTACCGCCATTTGGCCACAACGAATATTTTCCTCAGTCCAGCGCACTTCCTGGGGGCTTGATTCAAACAGAGACAAAATAATAAATAATATTTGTTTTTCTTATTATTTGCCGGAGTTGAACAAAGAAGGAGTATGTGTTTTAACTTCAAATCAGATTAATTGTGGATTCAACCTATCTTGGTTGTCGAACATCAACCATGCCCCCCTCTTACAGTAAAGAGGAAGAAGAAACTGAGAGAGGGAAGTATTCTCATGACCCGTAACACCATCCTTCTCCAGTGCTGGGAATTTAACATGAGTTTCGGCTGTGGTGGACAAAAACTGTTCCGTCAGTAATGAAAACTGCTCTCATTTTGCTCTGATGATTCGTAACAACTTTGGCTAAATGATGACTGTTTAAAGGGCTAGTATCTTCAGGCAGAACAAGCAAGTCACTTCAAACTGTTTGAGTCTTTATGCTTAATTAAGCTAGGCTAACTGTCTGCTAAATACATTTACAGTATATATAGTAAAGAGCTATCCAACTTCTCATAACTCAAGGCGAGAAAGTGTATTCCCGTAATATTGAACTACTTCTAAAATGGTAGAGGAACAGACAGTGTGCTGCATCAGTTCAGATTCACCTGATGGTGTGAAAACCCGCAATTATATTAACTATGAAAGCCAAGCATCGATTCAACTGGATGTTTCTCTTTGTGAAGCTTTCCTCTGTATAGTTGGCATAGAAAAGGTGTATTTCCCTCGTCAAAGAGGAAGAAAAAAAACGTCCGCTCATCAAGCTGAAATCAGACGCTGTACTTAAAAGGTGCTTTGGTGTTAATAAGGCAGCAGCTTGTGTGATTATCACAGAACATTTCCACTTGGTCCGAGTGAGACTTTTTAATTGAAACCAAGCGGGAAAAAAATCAATCAGGAGTCAGACGTCAGCGAACTGGTTTTTGCTTACAGAAAGGTTAAGGTTGGGCAAGCTTATTTTACACATGTGCTAACACAGACACATATATTCACACCCGGCACCGCCGTGCTGACTGAGTTTCTTTTCCTAATCACTGAGAACAAAGTCTCCCCCCCTCCTTGCTTCTCTTCCTCCTACTCTCCGCACTTTTCTTGAAGAACTAATGAGGCTGCAGACAGCACACCCGACTGACACAAAATCCTCCAACAGCATCCATCCCTCCTTCTCTCTGGGCTGATCTCCATCCGCCTCCCTGCAGAACCGCTCCATCATTTCATGGTTCTGCTAGCGTTCAGAGATGACAGGAATGAAATGCTCAATTATTAATTACTGGCACGCAGATGCACGGAGCGAGGGGAACACCTCAAATAAGAGGAAGAGGAGATACAACACCAGAAAAGAAGGAGATGGGAGAATGTTATGCGCCGCGACAGCTTGACTGAACTGGGTCACGAGTACAGAAAGCGATCGTCAAACGCTAAACATCATCCACCAAAACCCCTCGGGAAGCCTTCAGCAGCGGGGTGTAGGGCTATAGAGAGTATGGAGGCAGTGGGAGGGGGTAAAACGACACAGGAAGGGTTTTAGAATCTAAACATTTAAGAAATGAGAATAACATTTTCCCTAGAACCAAGAATTATGTTCAGAATGAAATGCCTTTTTCTCAATATGTGAAACTGTGTCACAATTTGCCATGAAGAGATTTGTCAGACAGACTTTTGACCTGTAACACTACATAAACTCTTTCTCATATTTCTGCACAGGGTTTGGAGAGACATTAACATTGGGAAACCAAAAGAGGAGTCTCTGACAACCGCATTCAGTGGCCCAATTTAAACAAGAAGCTAAAAATAAAACCGTTTTAATTTGTTATTGTTGCGATGTGTCCACCGTGAAACTCTCGAGAGACTCTCAAAGCCACAATGGTGTTGTGTGACATTATGAAATAAAGCAATTATACCAGTTTTGCAACCGTCCAATTGTCCTTAAACACATTTGTTTTGTTAGAGAGAGAAGAATCTGCTTAAAAAAAGCTCAAGAGGCGGGTGGGAGAGGACAATGTGGATACTGCTTGGTGGGAAAGTGCAGTTGTGCATTTTTTAAATAAAAAAAATAACAAAATGTTTTAATTGTGACACTTTGTACACTAAAGCACAGCATCAAACTAGATCAGCATCATACCCAAACACTTCTTTAATTTACTAGACGTGACAATAACGACAGAATCTGGAATAATAGGCATC